CTTGACAACCTCGTATAAAATATAAGAAGACGGCGAGGAGGGGAAATGGAGGCCACTCTTGTGGAAACCGGCTGATGATCTCGAACATCGGCAGCATACGGGAATTCTGTGATCTCGAGACGCCCATTTTCATGTTCAACATCAAGGGTGAATACGCTACGATGACGATTTCCGAGGTGCGATATGCAACATCCCTTGAGACGAGGGGGTAGTTCCAGGGAGGAACTTCACTTGCCTTGAGGCGACTAACAGAATGCATTTCGCAGCTCTTACCATTATCTTTCGGGCCGGATGTGTTGCCTTCACCCGAAGTTCTCGAGGCCAATCGGCCGCAGACGTGAACCTCGCCGTCATTTAACTGCATATCCCAGGTAAGCCGACCAGACACAGGCTACAGCGGTTGTCAGAAGTCGCACTCTTAGAGTGCTACCCTGTTCTTTGATTTCGGCAGCAGCGCAAGGACTTGGTGTGTTTAGCAGGACATGTGTCCGTTGGTTCAGTTTGGAGATAGATGACTGGAAATTCGGACCTCGTGTGCTAGTAAAATACTCAACTCCCATTGCCATATAATTCCTAAAGTACCTAGGTAGTTTGACCAACAAGGTACTGACAAAAAAACATTCATGATTTTCCTTAACTGAATAAGTTGAGAGACTATCTGAAAACCGAAAATACAGTCATGCCCCCGATCCATACTCTCGATGTATGGGCCTGCACCTTCGGAAAGCATTAAAGGTGCCGAAGGAAACCCATGTGTCCTCTCCGCATGCCATGAAGCCACTTTTTGGTTGCTACCCCGTGAGCCACGGCCGAAACTCACCGCAGGTAGCCGCGGCCACGCGGCTCTCTACCCAGGTAGCCTCGACCACTCTATAGACAATCAAAAAGCCCTTGCGAAGTCTCACGAATACTCCACCCAAAAATGCAAAGCCGCCGCCCTATGACACCGCCAATGTGCGATGACCAGGACAGGAATCTCGTCTCCTCGATATTTTTTTTTTATTAGATGAGGTCAGCGACGTTCATGGGCATCTCCTCGATCTGGGTGCTGTAGAACTGCTCAATCTCGCGCATCATACGAACATCCTCGGCAGTAACGAAGTTGATGGCAACACCCTTACGACCGAATCGGCCACCACGTCCGATACGGTGGATATAGTTCTCGCGGTTTGCGGGCAGGTCGTAGTTGATGACCAGCGAGACCTGCTGAACGTCAATGCCACGAGCAAGCAGATCAGTGGCAATGAGGACACGGGAGGAGCCGGATCGGAACTCCTTCATAATCAGATCACGCTGAGACTGGTCCATATCGCCGTGCATGGCCGAGACGGTGAAGTCACGGGCGGTGAGCTTATCGGTAAGCCAGTCGACCTTGCGGCGGGTGTTGCAGAAGATGACGGCCTGGGTGATGGTGACGGTCTCGTACAAGTCGGAAAGAGTGTCAAGCTTCCACTCTTCCTTCTCGACAGCAATGTAGAATTGCTTAATACCCTCGAGTGTAAGTTCATCCTTCTTAACCAGGATGCGAACGGGGTCACGCATGAACTTGGTGGTGACTTCGAGAACGTCCTGGGGCATGGTAGCCGAGAGGAGAACGACCTGGGTGGCCTGGGGCAGGAGCTGGAAAATGTCGTAGATTTGCTCGGTGAAACCACGCTGGAAGGCAAATTAGCCACCGAGACACGGGACTGGAAAGGGTAGACACGAGGGATCATGGAAACATACCGAAAGCATCTCGTCAGCCTCGTCAAGGACGAACATCTTCATGCTGTCGGTCTTCAGGAAGCGACGCTGGATCATGTCGTGGACACGACCAGGAGTACCAACGACGACCTGGGGGCCATCCTGCAGGGCCTTCATGTCGTCGCGGACGCTCGTGCCGCCAATGCAGGCATGGGTCTCAATGTTCATAAAATCGCCAATAGCGACGACGACCTTTTGAATCTGCTGGGCAAGCTCACGAGTAGGGGCCAGAATCAGGGCCTGGCACTGCTTGACGGCAGGGTCGATCTTTTGAAGAACGGAGATAGAGAAGGTGGCGGTCTTGCCAGTGCCGGACTGGGCCTGGGCAATGACATCGTTACCTGGCGGTTGGAAGTGAGCAAGAGTCCAAAAAGGAAAATAAGGATGCCGAGCGGGGCAAAGGGAAGCGCCATACCCTTGACAACAGGAATGATAGCACGCGACTGAATAGCGCTGGGACGCTCTATAGTAAAAAAGGGGAAAGAGATCAGCATTCCAGCGTAGTTATTGACGAGGCTAGGCATTGCAGCATACCGAAACCCTGTAGAATCGCGCAGGTTAGTATTATGGCCCACACTTTGAAAAATAGAAACGACAGTGCGCGAAATCGAGTAGATATCAATTCGCAGGTGGAATAGACCAACTCACATAGGCATAGACACCACGGAGAAGCTCAGGCTTCAGGTCCATGTCATCGAAGGAGTCGCAAACCTAGGCCAAGGTTAGATCTAGTGGTTGGGCACCATGGGATTTCGCGACATACGCCATCGTAGTTACTCTCAATTTGAGCTGCAAAAGGGGAAAGAGAGTTAGCAAATGTTGGAACGATTCAAGAAAATACCAAATTCGTATACTAAGAGCAACGAGATTCGAATCGGAGTGTCGGGGAGTGTTTGAACTTACTTTCGGGAACGTCCTCCAAAGACATCTTGGTGATGTTTGTTGGGATGCGGGGGTTTTGTTGTTGGTGGGTGCGTTAAAGCGTCACTGAATTAAATGGGAGGGGCTTCCGGGCCTCCAAAGATCGCGCACGTCTCGTCAAGAGGTGTCGCGAGTTTCGTGAATAAAATGAGAGTCCGAAATCAACAGACCCTCTATTATCGTTATGTTAAACGTGGTGTTTGGTCGTGGTTGGTGGTCAGTTTGGTGGTAATGTGAAGTAAGGAATTTTTTTTTCCTCCAGAGGCGGGCGAAAATTTCGACCTGGGCAACATTAGGAGGCTTAAAAAAATTGGTAGGCACCTGGTCATCGCCACCCCACCTAGGCATCTTACCTAATCACCTAATTTCCCCACCAACAACTCGGCGTGTCTGGCACCACACAATCCCATTATGCCACACAATTTATTTCCAGGTTACGAGGCTGACTGTGTTGTTGACTTTCAATTGTGGCGGATACTACCTTAGATCGTAGTGATAACCATGACGGTACACCACAGTTCACATCATGACGGCCTGAATCGAGTCACGGCACATGAAGTGCTTAATCACTCGGCGGAGACGAAGTTGCCGGAGCGTACCGCAGTCTCAGCCTCAACCACTCATCCTCTAGGCGTTCTGCCTCTGGGCAATAAGTTTTTCTTCCATGGGCCCGAAGCTCGCTCCTTCTGCGGAACTTTCCAAAGGTTCCCAGAGGAGATGCTGAGCTTGTTCTTAGAGTATCTTGACCTGAAGTCTCTGCCAATGCTAGGCTATACTTGTCGGTATCTGTACGCCTTTGCATATGACGACGCTTTGTGGAAATCACTTTTTCTGTGAGTCGAAGAGCCTCCCTTGCGGGTGACGGATCGTATTTTGTCAGCGTGTCATGTAAAGATGTTTTTGTGCCCTGCTTGATCGCCTCATCGTGGCTCGCTGTGCGTAAGCCTAGTCCCGTCAGAGGACAGACTGCAAGGCCATAGGAGTGGCTGACAAGACATTTCATTCACAGAGAGGCAAACACTGGGAGATTCGAGGGGAAGTGGCTTGGTTCCTGGCGATCAACAGTTCTCGAGCTCCCTGCTGGACAAAGGCCCAATATAGACTGCAGCAACGTCTTCTCTGACGTTCTTCACCGGCCTTTTGTCTGCCGATACGTGGACCTGGAACAGTTTGCTTCGAATATTCCAAAAAGATCTCAGATTCGGAAGTTTAAGAACCTCTCTTATGAAGAATTCGCAGAAAATTGGACAGAGCAGCCCTTTGTCCTGACAGAATGCATACAGGAATGGCCTGCCTATGTATCATGGAGCATGGAAGAAATCCTGAGACGCTATGGAGACGTTGATTTCCGAGCTGAGGCTGTTGACTGGCCATTCTCGACGTACTACGAGTACATGAAGAACACCAACGACGAGAGTCCGCTTTATCTTTTCGACAAAAAGTTTGCCGAGAAGATGGGAATCACCGTCGGTCACGAGAAGGGAGCGGCATACTGGACACCCGACTGTTTTGGGCCGGACCTTTTTGACGTCCTTGGTACGTTTGGTTTGGTTGACACATCGGGAATGCTATTCACTGACGCGCAGCGATTATTTTTATATCTACAGGAGGTGATAGACCAGCACGCAGGTGGCTAATCATCGGACCTGAGGGCTCAGGGTCGACTTTTCACAAGGACCCCAACGCGACTTCTGCGTGGAATGCCGTCCTTTCTGGTGAGTACCCCCAGATTGGTTTCTTCGCGATCCCTGCCCTGCTAACAAAAAACAAAACCAAAAAAAAGGCAGGAAATATTGGATCATGTTCCCGCCGTCAGTTTCCGTGCCCGGGGTGTTCGTCTCTAGAGATGGGGGCGAGGTGACAAGCCCGCTAAGCATTGCCGAATGGCTGTTGCAATTCCACGAAGAGGCCAGGCAGTTGCCCGAATGCGTGGAGGGTATCTGCGAAGCGGGGGAGATTCTGCATGTTCCCAGTGGGTGGTGGCATCTGGTTGTCAACCTGGAGAGCGGGATCGCCCTGACGCAGAACTTTGTGCCCAAGTCCCCTTCCTGCCGCCACCTGTCGGACGTTTTATCCTTTCTCAAAGACAAGCCCGACCAAGTAACGGGGTTCAAATCAGACGTCGAGGATCCGTATGGACGTTTTGTCGACCGACTTCGAGAAACCCATCCAGAGGTACTCGGCAAGGCCCTCGAAATACTAGAGAAGAGAAGTGCACCAAAGAAGAGGACGTGGTCAGAAGCGGTAGGAGGAAACAAAGACGAGCCTTCGGGTGGCGGATTTAGCTTTGGCTTTGGCAGCGATGTTGATGATGAGGAGATTCCATAGATTCATCGAATCCAAGCAGACTTCAGCACGCGGCTGTTTTGTTCCATTGTGTAAGTTGAAGATTCCTGAGAAATGTCTGAAGCTTTCTTTGCCGCGTAGTTTGTCTTCTATTAAGAGACATCTGTCGGAATCCGGTGATAATTCGCTAAAATACCCTCGACAACTACTACCTACCTAAGTAACGTCAGATGAGGTGCTCAGCCTCGCCCCCCTTCCTCGGAGAACGAATTGTGTGCTTTGTTCTCCTGAATAGGATTGGGAACATTGAAGCTGAGACTTGTGGCGGTCGAAGGGGGGCGACGACTTCCTCCGTTACCCTCGATTTAGCCAATCAAAAGGGGGTGTTCCAGGTACAATTGCGATTACATCTCGACTGAGGTAGTGTACCTAGTGGGGCAGTGCCTGCCACCCCATTCCCCAAACCCCAAAACGCCCAGTGCCTGTATACCTTTCTTTTGCCTTTCTCCTTTTGCTGCAACTCGACCCTGGTTTGTTCTCACCACGAAGTTCTTTCGAGTCCAACCCGTCCATGACACGTCGGTCTTTGTTCGCAGTCTCCGACAAGCAGCTATATTGTTCGCAGTCGCCTCGCAAACTAAGTCGCCTCCCTCCTTAGGTTGCCCTATCGTATCCGCATCCCCCAGCCCCCGCCGTAGCCTCGCCAAATTTACCCCAACGTCTCGCAGCTCAGATCTAGATCTTGCGGCGTCTCTAAACCAACGTCTGTCTCAAAGGATATTAACCCCGATCATCTGCGACAGAAGACCATGTGACAGCGGGAGTGCGCCGCATTCCTCCTTCCCATCCCACTTTTCCTCGAACTCCTGCGCTTTTGTGTTTCTCTCTCGGTACTTCCTCCCCTCTCACAGATCGGCCACCTAGACGATTACCATCAATCAGCATTGGTCTGGGGTTGTCTTGAACTGTTTTCTTCCCACAAATTTCTTTGCAGGTAGGACGTTTCCTCTCGTATATCTCCTCTTTTCACTGGTCTCTACCGACATTGGAGAGCCCCGAGGTGCCGAGCTCTAGCCATCACCCCCGTGCGAATCGCCAACTCTGACGTCGATGCTTGCTGTCCTAGTACTTTCTTCCTCCCCGGCCCCGTTACCAGCTTGCGGGATAAGCCTGCCTACCACAAATATTCCCCACTTCGGTTCGATACTCCGGACCCCTGAGGTCAACCCTCCCTACTACTACCTATAAGCATCTATCCTTTGTATGCAACAGCGCTCGTCTCTGCCCTATTCCAAACATCCGTGTTCTTTTCCTTTTTTTTTTCTTTTTCGTTTCTCCTCCGAGCGTTCATTACGACTGCGCCATTCATCATGGTTTCCGACGAACATTACGACCTCTGTCTCCCGATACTCCAAGACGCGAGCCTCGAAGATGAAGACAAGACGGACCGCCTGGAAGAGATCCTGAGAAAGGAGACATCATTAAGAGATTCCTCACTTGAACATGCGATCCTCGACGCGTTGTGGCGATATCGTGACGGAGGGAGCAGCGCCGCTTCTCCTCCCCCCATCCGACAGACCATCCTTCGACGGCCGTCGCCAGCCTCATGGCGGGGGAATAGCACTCCTCTCTCCGGGTCCCCTCGTCTTGGGGTCAGCCCTCTGGTCCCTCCCGGATTCTTACCAGCCAACCTGAACAGAAATAAAGCCTCGACCGTCTCTCCATTCTCATCACCAAGACCATCACCCAGACTCGCTTTCGCTACCCCCGTTATACCCCACAGTCCGAACCTGAATGCCTACGAATTCGCCCACGATACAACCCCCTCCCAGGAGGTATTTGGTGATTACCAAACCGAGAATGTCGAATGGCTGGTCGCCGATGACGCGGCCAGCATCACGTCGTCCGTCGGCACTTCAAGCGGCCTCAACGCGGCCGCGCCCGAGTTCTCGTCGCTGTCGTCGCAGCAAACCGACATGTCTCCGTATGACATGCTGCGCTCCATCCTAGGACCGTCGAGAACGGACGAGGAGATAGAAAACGCCCTCGCGACGCACGGTTACGATTTAAGCGCGACCATTGTGGCGATAATGGAAAACCACATGCCAAACAGTGCGTACGCCATGAATACAAAAGCAGAAGAGACAAAGAGCATTGTAATAGGCAAATCCATGACGGCTGATGGTCGGCCGACGACGCCGGCCAACCAACAGAAGTCGGGCGTCATCTGCAAGTTCTACCTGTCCACGGGACAATGTCTACGCTCCGACTGCAGATTCAGCCACGACTTGAGCAACCATCTATGCAAGTGAGTTGTCTCGAAACTGGTGGGAGCCTCTACACAAAACAAAAAAAAGGGAAGCTAAACGTAGAACAGGTACTGGATTATGGGGAACTGCTTGGCGGGAGATACGTGCATTTTCTCCCATGATCCGGCGCAGCTCGTTAACAAGCTTTCCGTGGACGGGGGCCAGACGCCTCCGTCAAAGCAACAAGCCAATATCCAACTGTCTGATTACAACTCGTTTCCGTCACTGCAACCAGGCACACCCGAACAAGTATCGCACTACGCGGCAGTCGCCAGATACAGAGGGATGACGCCGCCTCCCGGGTTGAAACCGTTCCCGACGAATGACAGTCCAAGGCCACGGTCTCGTCCCGGCAGCCGGCAACAGCAAGCCCGAGAACCTTCCGGTGGCGCCCCTCCGCTGGATGACGCCGAAGCATTTCCCACTTTAGGATCGGCGGCAGCGAAGCAAGGAAAGAAACATCACGGCAAGCGGGGCGGCCATGGCAGCAAAGAAAATGCGGTCACGACACCCAGCTCCCTCGCCGATATTGTCAAAATGTCGCCGTCTCCTGGGCCGATGGCGATGCGCCAGGATCCGAAAAAGACCACACGCAACGGAACGACTACGGGTGTTCGTAATGGGGAAAACAGCGCCGCAGCACAAGCCATACCGATCCCCAAGCATATTCCTTGGCTCGAGACGGGCGAGAGGGCGAACAAGGCTTATCTCAAGGCCCGGCAAGAAGCCATCAAGCACGGCGGTCTCAGAAATAAGTTCTTGCAAAGGTATGTAATGGACGGGGTAGAGGAGAGACTGGGTAGTCGGTGTCGGTCTTTCGGGTTCCTGTTTTGCGGTGGTTGACGATCTCTCGCAGTGCTGCGCAAGCGTGGAACAGGAATGACGCGCGGGCGGCCAAGGCCCTCAGTCTCCGCGGACAGAGTGAAAATGACTTGATGCGGAAAGCGCACCGCGAGGCGGCCCGCGAGCTCTACGAGGAGCGGAACAAGGCCAATACAAACACCTCGGAGATTTATGTCGACCTGCACGGACTGCACCCCGACGAGGCGGTGGAGTACCTCGAGCGAGTGCTGTTGGACAATAGCAAGGAGAACCGACCGATCTACGCCATCACCGGGACCGGCCATCACAGTAAGAACGGAAAGGACAAGGTTGGCAGGGCGATTCGGAACTTCCTGAACGAATGGAGTTATGCGTATCGCGAGTTCTCAGTGCCTGGGGACCGTAACAATATGGGAGGGATACTGGGTGTCGACGCGAGGAGCTACGACAAGAGCCTAGCGCGGGACGGAGGGGCGAGTTTGGCCGAGCCAAAGGAAGAGGAAGACATTCTCAGCCAGGGAGTCGAAATCGGCGACGGGAAGGTCAGGCTCTTGGTTCGAGACCCTCCTAAGGGACCGAGCTTGAAGCGGTGACGATGGCGAGCAGGAGGCGGGACGGCGCGTGGCGCGTGGCGCGTGGGAGCAACTGGAGTCCGTCCCTAGAAGAGGCAGATTCCGAGTGGTGGGAAGGATTGAATGGCACAAGTCGAATTGAAAGATTATCATCTTTCAAACAAGGTACTGTTAAAGTCAAGAAGCATCTCACCTTGTTCGTCGCTGTGTAATTACCTACGACTACTTCGTACTGCTTTACCTTCTCCCAGAAAGGCAACATGATGATTAAGAACTGAAGCTAGGCCTGCCTGGGGCGTGGGAGTTTCGTACATATACCGTGCCTACCTAAACACAGCGTGGATCCCCACTAACGACTGTAATTACTACGAAGTATCGGTACTTACGGAGTAAGCAATAGGTACCTTACGGAGTCCGGATACAGTACGTTGTAAGACCGACGTCAACCACACGGAAGTTCAAACGAGGCCACGCTCCTTGATGTCAGCAATGGAGATGGGACGGACATCGCGACACTGCCCCCTCCCCAATGCGGCCAGTGACGAATACCGCATTCCCAATCTCTCTTTTCCTTCTTTCCACCACGATTTACGTTTCTCGTCAAGCTTCCTTACCGACATCCATATACGAATGAATCATTGAAAGCACCAGCCTTAATAATTCTGCTTTGCCTTTTCTTCATCCTATCCATCAGCCTACTGAGGAGCGTCGAACCCACAAGGTACATCGTGCTTGGAAACGCGACAGCCATCGCATTCGTCTGCCAAGATCAAGAAATATTCCGAAAAGAACATGGCCACGAGGTAGCCACAGTCCGCTGTACCTCAACGCTGTTGTGCTGCGATAGAAGCCGAGATCTCATCCGACTTTCCTAATTGTTGTCTCCTCGCCCCATTAACGAGCTGACCTGGGGCTGGTTTTCCGGAACCGCCGGGGTTCTGTCGTCATCAACGATGGTCAACTCGGACTTCCAAAACATGGAGCAAACAGCGTCAATGCCGCTGGCGCCCGACAATGACCCCGATAGACGAACTGACCCGTCTTCTCCAACCTCCCCCGATCCGCCTCTGCCCTGGGCTCGCCGCCCCGGTTCCATGTCCTCCCGCCGTCTCTCCTCGACCCGATACGTTCGCACCGCGCGAGCCCCGGCCCTCAAACGCCTTTTCCGCGCCGCCGCCAAGGGCTACAAGAACCTCAACGCCGCCTACCTACGGCTCACTCCCCTCCAGCGCGTCGCTGTCGTCACTGCGGCCGTCGTCGTCAATGTCCTCGCCATCCTATTCCTCGTATACTCCCACGCCATCTTCACCTGGCTGGCCCCGATAAGCCATCAGTGGCGCGCCCTTCCCGGCGGCTGGCTCATTATCTGGCTCATGGTTGTCATCACGGCCTTCCCCCCGCTCATCGGCTACAGCACCTGCATCACCATCGCTGGCTTCGTCTATGGTTTCCCGCTCGGGTACCCCATCGTCGCCACCGCCAACGTGGCCGGTAGTCTCGCCGCGTTTTATGCCAGCCGCACCATCTTCAGCGGCTATGTACACCGCCTCGTCGGCCGGGACCACCGCTTCATCGCCCTTGGCCAGGTCCTGCGCAAGGACGGTGTGGGCATGCTCATTGCCGTCCGACTGTGCCCCCTGCCCTACTCCATTTCCAACGGCTTTCTCGCCACTATCCCTTCCATACATCCCCTAATATTTGCGGTTGCCACGGCATTGGCGAGGTAAAGCTCTCTCCCCCCTCCCCGCCCATAATTCCCAGGCGAAGCGCATAATTCTTGGCTAACACTCGAGGTCCTTGTGTGCTGCAGTCCCAAACTCCTCATTCACATCTTCATCGGTAGCCGTCTCGCCCTCATCGCCGAGCGGGGCGACGAGATGTCAATGGCCGACAAGGCCATCAACTGGACCTCGATGATCTTCGGCGGCCTCCTCGGTGGATTCATCGGCTGGGTCATCTACCACCGCACCATGACCCGCGCGGCCGAGATCGCCCTCGAAGAGAACGAGGCGCGAGACCTCGACGATGCCGATCCGCTGGGCTCGCCTGAAAACGGCCACGGCGATCTCGACTATGCCGATGTGGAGGCTGGTCTTCTTGACCCGGATGACGTGGTGGCCCTGATGAACGACGACGATATTAGTCTTTGGGGGGGGAGCGACGGGGTGGAGGGCGATGAGCGGTATCATGACAATGACGAAAGCGGTTCCGTAGATGGGCATGGGAAGGGGCATACAACTGGGTTGGGCAAAAACTAGATATTTTTTCCTTCTTTCCCTCTTTGGCTGTTGGACAATCTCGGGTCAGCTGGTGTCTATTGTGTATTATCTTATAAGTTCTATCCTTCGTTGGGTCTGTTTTGAACTAGAAATGAAATGACCATGTGAATGACCACGTACGGACGCGAAAAGAGGGAAGAGCTGCAATGTTGAAATATTATATTGGCCTGGACCTTTCTTTTATTCTTCCATACTGCGTTGCTGGTATCTGGTATTACCCGTTTGATTTCGCTTCCCAAGCCTCCTCGACCCGAAATTGTTTGTTAGAGAAGAAGGCAAAAATGCGTCTCGCGCCGAGGCCATGTGACGCGCCATATCAAAACGCCGACGCTTATGATTACGAAAAGAAAATTAATAAACAGACAAACACCAAACCCACTATTGTCTTCCCTGATAATGCTGCATGATCTGAATCGCCTGCTCGGTCGGGTACCCGATGAATACCGGTCCTGTGAAGATCATCTGCGGCGTAGTTACGCCACCTTGCTTCATCTCCTGCGCAGCGGCAGGAGGGGGAGGAGGGAGAGGAGGAGGAGGAGGATTAATGAACGTGGGTTGAGGAGGAGGTATAGGCGGCGGTGCCTGTTCCTGTTCCTGTTCCTTAACCGGCGTCTCGGGCCGTATGGGGCCATCGATCATGACATCCCCTGCCGGTTTTGGAGGGCCCATCGGTGGCGGGGGAGCGCCACGGCCATTCATGAGGGCAGCCATCTTGGAGTGGTCAAACGGACACTTGCCCCCCGCACTCTTCATGGGCGTTGATGGATGCTGCCCCTCGGACGACGTCGGCATGACCACGGGCGCCGGCGGCGGAGAGGGCGGCGGCCCCTGTTCCTCCTCCAAGCCGTGGGGCTCGTACCGCGGCACGGAGATGCCCCATGGTCTACTGGGCGACTCACCGACTCGGACTTCCTTGAAGGGGCGGTCGAAGTGGCCCTCCCTGTCGGCGTCGGCGTCGGCGTCTGCGTCGGCAGGGTCGGCCTCGACATGGGCGTCAGCCGGCGGCTCCTGGCCATGGGCGGTGCTCGAGGTGACGGCCTTGGCCCAGTTCTCCACCCTTTCGTTGGAGGCCTTGTCGATTTCCCGCTGTACCTGCGACGTAGGCAGCATGCGCTTATGAAGGTTGCTCAGGTCTTGAATCATGCCGACGATATCCCCGTATTTCGCATCGAGTTTCCTTATTTGATCTTCGGTTCTCTGGTTTCTCCTGAGACACACTTCATGGCTGCGCGGTAGTTCGTGTTTGTGGGTTTCAACGTAGTGAGCAATTTCCTCCGGGGAGTGTTTGTCTAAAAACCGGATGGGACATTTGGCCGGCCCGGCTCCATTCGCGTCTTGTTCAGCGGGCTTCGACATGGATTCCTGGGATTCCTCGTACATGGCTGCGCATATTGGATCTGAAGAGTGATGGGGGGTCGGGTCCTGGGAGCTCTCCTCGGCGGCGCGCGGCCCGGTAGTGTTGTCGGCGTTGGCTGGTGCGGGGAAGGGGCATTCCAACTTGCCCTTCTTCCCCTCGATGGTGAAGTCTTGCTCGAGTACTGTAGACATGGATGTGCTTGTCCCCGAGTTCCGTGAAATGGTGTCGTTTCTGCTAGACAAGCTCGTCTTTCGGGGGTCTATCAAGGCTTCCAGCTGGTTGGCAACACGTCGGCCGTCGCGGATAGTGAGAGCAACCTGGTTGCCGGTGTCGAGCTTGGTGCGACGGGGGAGCGGTACTAACGTTACGTTTTCTATTTTCGGGTGGCGAAGATCTGGAGGGAGTTGCAGCTTGGCCAGCGTCTCGGCAATTTCTGGCGCTGCAGGCGCATGTTTATCTGCCAAACGTTGGTACTATAGGCAACCGGAGGGTCTGGTCAGTCGTGGTGCGTGAAGCCGATGCAGGTCGGAACATGATAAAGGGTGGGTCAGAGAAGTCAGGCAGGATAGTAGGCTTCTGGCCTCCGCTACTGCTTTGAGCAAACTCGTGACCAAGAGCAAACGGAGACAACATGGCATGGTAAAGAGACACGGAGGGACATCACGAAATCCAGGTATCGGCATACCTGCTCGTGAGCGAACCGAAGTTTATGTTCGAGAACCGTTTTCATGTCGGTGAGGCTTTGGACTTCGTTGGCGAGTGTGTTGAAGGATTCGACCAAGGTCTGTGTTAAAGTGATGTAATTCATTACATGGCTGACATCAAAGCCAGTGCTCGTATGTTGTGACATGGAGGACGAGGACCGTCGAAGGCTGGAACGAAGGTACGGACTAGAACACTGGAAGGAAGGACGTGACAGGGCTGAGCAGAGCAAACACAGAAGCAGGGTTTAAGGTTCCAAGGTGCCGGCTGTGAGGGAGGCCGGTTTCTGATTCCCCGGTAGGGTACCTAGGTACTTACCTTGCTTACCTAAGTGAAACGTTAATAACCGGCATGTATGTTTCGTTATTTGACATGTAAAATCCACTTGTTGGCGGGTCATACGGATGGCGATAAGAGATAAGCTGCCAACCTAAAGCTGTCGAAGGGAAGGCACCTTACCCTTGTTATCCCCCTTTTAGGTACCGGTGTCCACAACAGCCCATATGTATGTTCGCCCTCAGCCCACGCCCTCCAGCCGTCTTAGACCGCTCTCTCTGATCCTTCTTCCACCACGTCCCACAAGACTTCCGTCCAGGAAACCCGGAGCGTGAATTCTGGCAAACATGGCAATACATAATATGCCTCTACGGCTTTGGCTGCACATCAGACGAGTACCAGCATGAAAAGTGCTGGGGGTGGACCATCCTCCGCACCTCCTACGACGACGATGAGGCGTTCACTCAAGCCGTCGCCGCCATCCAGAGACTAGCCTTGGTTCGCCTCGAGGACGAGTACCGCGAAAGCAGGACGCGTGGGAAACCGGACAACGGTGGCATGGACGCGGTGAAGGAGAAACTCGATAAAGTGCCGGGCCACCCCAACTTGCGCGAACATATTCAACAGGCTTGGAGTGCGATGGTCGGGCCCGCTCAAGATGCCCTGCCTGAGGGAGAGCCACTCACGCCCGACTGGGTCATCACGCACGAGTTGGTGCGACGGTACCACCATGTCATCTTGCAGGACAGCCAGGCCCTAGACGGAGCCGATGCGCGTACTCCAAGGCTTGAGGCGTACTCCAAGGCTTGGGAGTACGCCTACGCTTTGAACCTCGGGGAGCGGGAGGAGATCGCCCGCGGCGCGCTGTTCATTTTCCTCGACAAAGAATCGATCCACCACCTCGCGCAAGCACCCAGCTAAGAAGAGCTGGCGAGCATGGCCCCTGATGACCGGAGCAAGACCGCGTGGGAGTACCGGGTTAAGGTCGTCTCGACCGCTTCGGAGGTGACGGAGGACGGCGACGACACGGACCAGATGATGGAGTTTCCCCTGGGAAGGAGGCGGATGAGGCTGTACGACTTTTTCGACACATTCATATATCTCTGCGAGGGGGACTTGGATGAAATGGCTGTTGAGGGATGGGATCGTGAACGTTTCGTCGGGCATGAGGAGCGGGAATGGGAGTTATGTAGGAACCGTTGGGCGACTGGTGTGAGGGCACCCTGGTTGCGGGAGCTGTACGGAGAAGTGGTTCTGTCAGCACACAAAATAAGGTACGCAAAAGATGTGTGTGTGCATTGAAGAAGAGTAAAAGATACTCTGCGGAAATGTCTAACTATGAAGCAAAAGGAGGGGAAATTGATATGGATACATCGGTCGGAAGTACCCTATCCGTCTACAGAAATAGCGTAAGTCACACCCCGATAAGGTGGCTATAGGCATCTGACACACCCCCCCAGAACTGCAGGATTAATCCTGACTGTTCTGCTCAATTAAAGCCGTAAATCTAAGGTAAAATAGAGGCCTAGATATTAATCTAACGATTAAACGGCTTATTAAAAAGCGCGCTCTTTTTATGCCCAAAAACGTCAAAAACGTGTAAAAACAGGTGGTCAAATTAACCATACAACAACGTCAAAACGTCAAAAACGGGTGCCTAAATAACAATCTAAAGGGCACTAAAATAACAGTCAATCTAGGCTATAGATTATAAACTCAGCACCGCGCCTCTTATAAATTACCTTAAGCCCCCTAGCTTAGGACCTCTATCCCTAATAGATATACAAACGCCTTATATTTCTACGGGGGAAGTACTTTAGTTAGCCTATCGCTAACTATCTCTTAGGTTAAGATCCAGGCGATTAGGACCTTCTTCTATTACACGAGCTATCGGATCTAAAGGGCGTGGATATCTAGATACTTTAATCTAGAGGTGACCTAAGGGCGTAGTACCTCTAGTAAAATCCTCGTTTAATCGTTATCGTAGTATATCGTTAGAGGCTTGTTTTTAAAGGTTAAGGTTAGGTCCTTAATTAAATGCCTAATCGCGATATACTGCCTAGTGGTAGCAGAAAGTGCTATAAGCTCGGTTTTAGTACTAGAGGTTATAACGCTTATTTACTTATTTACCTTCTAGTCTATAGGACCCCCGAATAATAGTGTGGTATAGCCCTAGGAGCTATACCGCGTTTTACGGTCGTCCCTAAAGGCTACGTTAGAAGTATAGTAAAGTGCGTGCTATAGGTGGTTATTACGTGGTCTAAAGTAAAGGCATAGGGACTTAGTAGAGGCGAGGTACTTTAAATACCTATCTACGGCATCGTGATACTATTTTAACGGGTTAGTATTGAATTCGGCAAGCCTTAAAGCAGCTTTAGATACGTTAGGCCGGGTCTAATAGGCCGCGTAATTAATAGAACCGACCTTCCGTAGATATAGGTGGATTAACTCTATAGAGGCTTATTAGTCGGTAGCAGATAATTCTAAAACGTTAGGAAAAGGAAGAGGGCTTTTAACCCTACGCCTACTAACAGGGAAATCTATCCCTAAAGCCTTAATCTTTTCAGTGATATAGTTCTCGAGGGAAAGCTATAGCCGATGTTATTAGCGGTCGCGAACCACTTTAATCCCTAGGAACCACTTAAGTAGGCTAAGATCCCTTATTTAAAAGTGCTGCTATATCCGTTATATAAGAGAATTAGCAGCAGATTAATATTCCTTCCTATAGATCAGAATAATATCGTCCACGTAGAAGAAGACGATTAGTTCCTTACTTTTAAAGACGTAATCGTCTTCGGTCAGTTACTTTAGGTTATACTTACCTAAAACGGAAGAGAGCTATTCGTGCTATAGCTTAGGGGAGCGACGTAGGCTATATAACGCCCTGCGTAGGCGTTATATACCGCGCGAGGGTAGCCGCGATAGCTTTAAAATAGCCTTAAGGTCCTCGTCGCTCTTCGTGCCTTTTACTGCTTAAAGCAGCGGCCACCCGGGTGGATCCTTAACGTAAATCTCTTCGTTAAGGGTAGCGTTAGTAAAGGCGTTAACGGTATTAAGCTAATATATCTCTAGGTTAAAATAGGCAGTAATAGCTATTAACGACCTAAAGGTCCTTCCTACGAGGGTGGAGGCGTAGGCGTTAAGGTGGTTTTCAGGCTATTAATCGCCTCGCACGCATAACCTCGCCTTAAGCTTGCTAACGTACCCCGACGGGTCAACCTTATACTTAATGACCTATTTGAGGTCTAAGGCACATTACCCTCCCTGGGGCAGCTCTGCTGCTTTAAAGGTGCCTATTAACCTAAGTGTATCCACCTCTTATACGGCTGCCCTGAGCCATTATAGCTTATATAGGCTCTTTAGTATCTAAGACTACTTTAACGGTTCCTTAGGTATCTCGCGGCGTAATAGCGGCTTTTTCGGCTTCTTAAAGGTATAGTGGGAGACGTAATCGTCGTACCTAGAAGGAGGTCGGCGATTACGAGCAGGCCGTCCTATAGGGGCAGGCGTTAAAGCTAAAGCAGGCGAACGAGAGTTTAGTTATTAGGCCGTAATAGTAGTAGTAGTAGTGGGATTAGACTTAGCTGCTAAAGATAGGGTTACTGCTTATGGATTAGTTATTTAAGGAGTAGCGGCAGTAGTAGTAGCCTCTTTAAGAACGGATTAGTCAGGCGATAATAATCCTATTCCGATAGCATCGTCGGTAGCCTCTCCTATAGCCTCCTCTAAGGTAGAGGAAGATCCGCTAGTATTGTTAGATTCCTCTTAATCGCTGCGTTTAATTACAGAATCGTTAGGAGGTAGCAAAAAGGGCGTATAAGCAGGCCTCGAAGAAGCAGAAGTTATTAAAGAGGGCAAAAGTAGTGCTTTTAGTGCCGTTATTAAAGAGGAGGGTAAAATAGCAGTTAAAGAGGAAGAACTAACGGCAGGAATAACGGCAGGCATAACGGTAGGAACCGTGCCTACCGTAGCCGTGGTAGCCGTTCCACGTAATACCTCTTAGTTAGTAACCTGTTAGTTTTTAGAGGCGTTTTCGGTGGTTTTTACGTTAGTGGTGGTTTTTAATCCTTTACTACCACCACCGGCCATCCCTCTAGATCTTAACGATTAAGGCTATTATTAACGCCTCCTTCCCTCTTATAAAGCCTCTATTATAGAGTTCTGCTACGTTACTATAGGTACACCGAAATCGACGATATCTATTATAACGCTAAAAGGGTCTTGAATGCCCTAGTCTAACGGTAGATTAAGGTCATCGAAAAGCTATATAGGCACAGGCATATTAGGCTCTTTCCCCCTATTTTTATAAAGGACTAACTTATTAAAGATAACGTCCCTCGTGCGTAGGATCCTATCCCCCTATTGGGGAACCAAAATCCGAAAAATATTAATGCCTTCGTAACTAATCAAATAACCGATATATGCCCTCGGCGCGAGCTTTTCGTTCTTATACCTTCCTCGCAGGTAGTTAGCAGTTAACGCGTACGCCTTATAACTATACCTCTTTAGGTGCGTAATTAAGTATTAGGTGCCTGTAGCAGTGGTCACAATGGGTCCCTAGTATACACCCACAGGGATCCAGGTGTGCCTAGTCTAAGACCCCTCAAGGCATAAATAAAGTAAGTTATTATATAGTAAATAGGATAGTCCCTTAAAGTAAATAAGGTAGCCCTTGAGGAAGTAAATAAGTAGTCCTCGAGGAGTAGAGCGTAGCCTTAAGGAGCGAGGGAGCCTCCCCTTTAAAGAGGGAGGCTAGCGATTAATCTAACTCTTTAGCTATACCCACATTCTAATTCTTTAGCTACACCCACGTTCTAACCCTATTATAATCCTATCGTGATTATACCTGGTTCCTTATTTAACCCTACCTTTTCACTCTTTACGACTACCTATTTAATATTTTAATCGCTCTACCCTTAAAGGGCGCGAAGACCGTTAAGGAGAGTCACTAAGATATCTAACTATCACGAAATAAACGATCCTACCTTCGATTTTAATAAGGCTACTAGCTAGTTTAAGCGATAGCTCCATGATAGCGAAACCGCCTTCGTGGAGGACGCTAACAAGTAATACGACGGGGACACGCCGGGAACTAATACGGCTCCCGTACCTGCTACTATACCTATTCCTGCACCTACTACTACTCTTATCGCCGGTATTACCTCTACCACTACCTTTACCCCTATCACTGTCCCCGTCCCTCCTATAACCACGACGGGACCCGCGTATAACTCTAACCTGCCCCCGTATACGAACCTTAACCTAGCCACGCTAACGGAGGAATAACTAAACGAACGCGTTAAATAGATAAAGGTATAGAACCACCGTAAGCGTAAGCTTGCGTACTTTACTAAGCTAAAGGCGGATATTACCGCCGCTATTACTACCGCCGCCGCCGCTATTAATCCTAACCCGGCCGATATCACCCACCGCCGTATAGCTAAGCCCCGATATTGCGTTATAACCCCGGCGAGATCCTAGTATACCTACGATATATCCACGATATCGTCTATACACGGATCCGCCACCTAGGCTAAGTTTAATTTCCCCTTACCTAAATAGGATAGCGTATCCTAGGCTAAGTAACGCACGTTTATCTAGGAGACTAACTAGCGGTTCGACCTGGATTCTTAATCCTTTCCCACGGACGCCGCGAAGAACTACTTCGTTATATCATACCTCCCCTACCATCTTAAGGAACGTTAGCAGGCTAAACTACGATATAAATATAACGGGGACTCTAATAAGGTTAGCTAGGCAGCCTTATAGGCCTAGCTGTCCTGTTAGGTTAACGATAACGATACCCGCCTACGAGAGGTGGCGGTATAGATCCAGAGCGAGTCTATCTCCTCCTAAAGAGAGGGGGAGTCTTACGCTAAATTCATATAACGGTAGGAAGCCCTAGAGTCGGAACTACCGGGCGAGCTCCTAGACTAGTAGAGGATTTAGATAGTACTAATAAGGGTCCTCCTACCTATTCGGGACTATATAGTATCTATAGGGGTTCCTAAGAACTACTAGGATCTAGCCCCGGTATACCGTAGGGCTAAGGTCTTAACTATTACCAACGGGTTAGCTATTAGCCGGACAGACTTCTAGTCCGCTACCTAATAACGTCGTTTCCGCTCGCGTACCCACGGTTATAACCCCTACGCTCCGGCCATCTACGGTTCCACCAGTGTCCCTGCGTCTACCCCTATATCTGCCCCTGCGTATACTTCTACGCCCGCTCCCGCTCCTAGTTATCCTATACGCCCTAGACTATTATCGTACCTTGATTCTATTACTTACTATAACTATAACTAAAAGGGGCACTACGCTACTATATACCCTGGCTCTTATACCGAGCGGTCGCGCTCGAGTAATAGTAATCCGAATACCTAGCCGGTATCTATATCTTATCCTACGGTCGGCCGCGTTACGGGCGAGGTGCCCTAGGAATAATACCCGCCTTAAGTAACCCCCTCTGCTACCACTATACCGGTAAAGGCACGTGT